GGAGAGACCTGCTGGGGGCTGCCAGGGTCCTGCCAGAAAGCTGCGGACAGACTTTTGAACAGGGCCTGTTGGGGCAGAACAAGAAGTGATGGTTTGAAAATTAAAGAGGGAGATTTAGACCAGAGAGAAGGGAGAAACTGTTGATGCTGAGCCCCTGTCCCAGGCTGCCCAGAGAGGTGGTCACTGCCCCATCCCTGGCACCATCCCAGGTGAGGTTGGCCAGGGCTCTGAGCAACCTGCTCTAGTTGGGGCTGTCCCTGCTCCCTGCAGGGGGGTTGGACTGGATGGCCTTGAAAGGTCCTTTCCCACCCAAACCTCCTCTGGTCCTGTGCCTGCTGGGGGGCAGTGCCTCTGGCTCACCTGTTTGGCGTGGTGCACACAGCGCAGGTACTGGCTGGCCAGGGCAGAGCAGCTGAGGGTCTCCTGGGCGTGCTGCCTGTAGCACTGCAGGATCTTCTCCTGCAGCTCAGCACAGATGGGGTGAGACTCATACCGCCTGGGGAGAGAGAGAAGAGCTTTCTGATGTCCTCCTCAAAGTGATTGCAGGAAAGGCACAACTCCTTTTTATTTACTTTTTATTATTAAAGAAGTAAACTAAAGAACTGAAGTGAAGGAAAAAATCTTTGAAGTTCTATAGAAGGGCTGTTTCCAGAGCTGGTTGGGTTATAAAGTGGGTGACACCCAGGTGAGCTACAGAAGTTTGGCTGTTAGGACCACGAGTTTCTTCCTGAGCCAGGATTTGGGTTCCAGCTGGCAGAGGAAAGGCACACCCAACTTCAGATGAGCACAAACATCTCCAACTGAAGAACCCAACAACGCTGAGGCACATCTGAGCTCACCCACGTGAGAAAAATGGTCACTGATCCACAGGGAAGCTTCATCACACTCATATAGCCCTATGCTCTTATAATATTGCTACTTATTGAATATTTCTCCTGTGTAAAAGCAAAATCACCCCCTGGGCTGACCTCAAGAACATCAAAACCTTGCTACCATCAGCAAAATACCCAACCTACTTTTGCTGATCTGATGAGAGCCTCTATTTTTGGTGCATCCTGCTTCCCATCACCTCAGTTCTAATCCTGCTGCCAGATGTTCAAGTGACACAGGAATTGTGTCACTTTTTTTCTTTCCAGTGTGGATTCATTACTCTTGCCATCTTTTAGGCTGGTGCAACACCCTCTTCACCTTCAATGGAAGCCTAAAGGGAAGCTTCTTTAGCCCAGCCTACAAAATCCAGCCTCTTTTGGATAAAAAGCTTGGCATTTGCATTAATTTATAAAATGTTACCCACACTGATTTATCCACAGCATTAAAATGGGAACATAATACTTTCCTATTTCACAAGTAAGGGTTTGGTGAAGTGTTCCAAAGACCACTGAAATTTTAAGCTCACCGGACACCGATTTTCTAAATCCTTTTTAAAGTATTTGTTTCTATAAGAGACAATCAGATCACAGTTAAATCCCTTTCACACCAAAGAGAACATATTTCAATGATAGAAAAAAAACCCCATGAAAATACAGAAAACCATTTCCAGTTCATATGCCTTGAAATCAACCATTCCTTCAACGTGTGTGAGCTGTCTACTTAACACACCCTCCCCTTTACCCCACCAGGAAAGCCTGACAGTGGCTGCTCTAACCTCTACTCAATTTTTAGTTCAATAAGGTTGTCAAGACCCCAAGACTCATCAGCCACAATATCCTCAGAGAAATCTTCTGCTCAACCTTCTTTGAGGCAAGATCTTGGTGTTACTCCAGCACTCAAGTGCAACGTAAAGCACAGTGATTTTCCTTAGGGGAATTGACTTTTTGGCAACCACTCAAGATGTACTATCAAAAAAACTCCAAGAATGTGAAGTCACCTTGATTTTCCAGCATGTACCTATAGAAAACATCCCTCTTTATAAAAAACCTTCATAAAACATTGTGGCCAGGTCTGTGTGGGGATGGAGCACGAGAAGCAGCACCAGGGATGCTTCCAGCATGGACCTATAGAAAACATCCCTCTTTGAAAAAAAAAACCCTTCATAAAACATTGTGGCCAGGTCTGCGTGGGGATGGAGCACAAGAAGCAGCACCAGGGATGCTCTTTGTAGATGCAAGACTCACAGTGGTGATGATTCAGGTCCAGCTAAAGCAGAGCTCGTTTGAAATGCCTGACACCCTGGTCTGGATGGATAAACCAACACAAACAACCACGAGTTAACAAAGGGTAGGCAGAGTAAAGTAGCTGTGCCTTTATTGACAAGGGATTTCAAGTGACTTCCTAGAGAAAAGTGAGGAGCGAAGGAAGTGGCTGCTCTCCACTTGCCACATAAATCCTGTAAATGTATTTAAAACCATTTCAATGAGGCTACTTTAACCCACATTAAAGCTTTTTTGATTGCTTCTTCCCCTGAGCCGTGCCATTAGTGACCATTCAAAGTCCACCTGCTGTCCCTTCTTTGAAGGCTTCAATGGACTTTTAACGTTGCTGAAGGTATCAGAGCCTGGACAGACAACATTGCCTCCTGCAGTTGCTTCTTTTCATCCCCTGACTTTCCACCAGTGTTTTTTTTTCAGCATGTGTTCTCAGCTCCCTGCTTGTCCTCCCAGGCATTGCAGACCAATGTGAACAGGGCCACTTCCTTCAAGTCAACAAAGTCCATTTTCATGGATTAAGCTGAGCTCTGTCTCTGTATTGATCTGCTGTGCTTGTTACACCACCCTAATGCACTATTTGTACTTTTGGGAAAACACTGAATGAGATTATTGTCTAACATTAGCTGGCCATAACCCACGTGCTGCAGGATCTCCCATGCAAGAAAGAAGGTTGCTTCATGCATTATGTTCCCCCCATTGAAGGGTTTGTGATTGATTTCTGTGTGATGATGGATGACAGGACTCTCCATGGATGGTCAGAAACAACCAACAGCAAGGAGAGCCCTCAAAAGGGAAATGAAATATCTCCCTAACAGAGAATTGCTCCAAAGTTCCTATCATGAAGGGCCATTTTACAGCAATATTTAAGGGTCTGTGGGGCTTGAATGGATCATAGAATGGGTTGGGTTGGGTTGGGTTGGGTTGGGTTGGGTTGGGTTGAGTTGGCAGGGACTTTTAAAGGTCATCTAGTCCAGCCCCCCTGCAGCAATCAGGGGCTTAAGAAAAAACTGAAAAAAACACTTGTAGGAAAAGGCAAACAGTGCAAAAGCAGTAATTATGTGGAGTCTGTAGTGAAAATGTGGAGGTTTTAAATACCTGAATGGATGGAACAACCCGGTGTGGTCCCAGAGCTGACCCTGCTCAGAGCAGGACATCCCTTCCCTGAACTAACCTGTGTTCTGAGAGAGATCTGTGCCTTGGGAGACAAGGCAAGGAAAGTGTCCCACTGTTTTTATATTTATTATAAATCACTTGGGAAGGACATTGAGGTGCTGGAGCAGGTCCAGAGAAGGGCAACGAGGCTGGTGAGAGGGCTGGAAAACATCCTTTATGCAGACCTGCTGAAGGAACTGGGGGAGTTTAGTCTGGAGAAGAGAAGACTGAGAAGAGACCTTATTGCTCTCTACAGCTGAAGGAGGTTGTGGTGAGACTGGTGTTGGCCTCCTGTCCCAAATTACTGATGACAGCAGGAGAGGAGATGGCCTCAAGTTGCACCAGGGGAGGTTTCAATTGGATATTAGGAAGAATTTCTTCCCTGAGAGAGTGGTCAGGCACTGGAACGGGCTGCCCAGGGGGGTGGTGGAGTCACCAAAATGGGGTGGGTTCAAAAAATGAACAGATGAAGCACTTGAGGCTATGGTCTAGAGGTCAGGGAAATGCTGGGAGGAAGGCTGGACTTGATGATCCTAGAGCTCCTTTCCAACCACAGGGATTCCATGATTCTCTGAATTCCCAAACCTGCGTGTTATCTCCACATCTACCTAAACTGAAGGGAAAACACAGGGCTGGCACAGAACCTTGACCCATCTCCATGCAGTGCCCCTCAAAAGCCCTTCAGAGAACCCCCAGGGCTGGAATCCAAGCTGCCTTTCTCAGCAGCAGCCTGACCTGCGCCGTGCGCCGGTAACCACGGGCTTTTATTAACTCTGCAATTACTTGATCTGCTCTCTCTTTCCCAGCTGCTCCTCCAGCACCTCACAGGCCAGCAGAATATTTCTACGTGCTGGAACAAACCTCTGAGAGAGCTCTGTGTGTGTGTCCCAAACCACCCCTTCCCATCGAGCTGCTGCGCCGCTGCCTCGTAAAGGTAACAGGATGGAGCCACAAAAGAAAATTGAGAGTTTTGAAAAAGAAATATTCCATGTTAAAGCACAAAGGGAAAATTTAATGAAGGTGACTTTGTACTCCCCTCGCCTGTCTCAAAGAGCATAGCTTATTGTACTCCTGAGGGCACCAGGCGAGGAGCCCCTTCATGGCATTCAAACAAAATGTCTACTAAAGAGGAAATTTGAAGTCGCCACGGTAAGCTTTACAAGTTTTGGGCTAAAACTGACATTCTGATAGGGGGAATTGGCATGGCTGATGAGTTTCCAGCTGTGAAGGGAGCTGGTAGAACCCCGCCAGGTCAGGACTTCAGGCCACTGTCAGAAAACAGGGGGGGAAATCAAGGAGAAAGCAGCACGTGGGACAGAACCCTGCGCCGTTAGATGGCCAGAAGTATCCAGGGCTTCATTTTATTCCTCATTAAAATGCTGACACTTCTCAAAGGCATCTGGTTTTATTTGTGCAACCCTTGGCAGGCAAGGCTGCCTCTAAACAAACCGGAGCAGAGCTGATGCTCTGGGCACCACACAGCACAGCCAGAACCTCCTGGGTGGACAATTCTGCCTTCCCCTCCAAAGGAGCAGCTCAGCACAGCCACTGAAACCACAACCTGGGGACAGTCCCCAGCCTGTGCTGCTCCCCCAGCCATGCCCCATGTTTTCTAGGCAAGTGTAGCTCCAAAGCAAAATCCTGTTGGACTAGATGACCCCTAAAGGTCCCTTCCAACCCAAACCATGGTATGATGGTGAAACAAAAGGAAACTGAGGCCATCTGTACTCTCATGATAGGCAGCCCACTAAATATAACAGCCAAATTGTCTTGAAGTGCAAACCAAGAGGATTTCTAGAGGGATTTGTGGGAAGTTAATCCATTAATTGATGTTGTCTACATCCAGCAGAAATTCCTTCTGAGAACCAGCAAAACTCCATGTTTGTTTGGAAACTGGATGAGTGAGATGGAGGGTGGTGTCATGAGGGGTTCAGAGGGAAAGTAAACAGGGAAGAGGATTTTTAGAGGGATTTGTGAGAAGTTAATTCATCAATGTTGTCTACATCCAGCAGAAATTCCTTCTGAGAACCAGCAAAACTCCATGTTTGTTTGGAAACTGGATGAGTGAGATGGAGGGTGGTGTCATGAGGGGTTCAGAGGGAAAGTAAACAGGGAATTGAAAGGGCAGGGAAGAAGAAATGGGGCACACAGGGCTTCAAGAGCAAAGAGGTGTTATTTGTATGGGAAAGCCAGTGGC